ACACACACACACACACACACACACACACACACGCACGCCCCCGCGCGTGCGCACCTTCCTTGCACTCCAGGGCCACGCGAGACTCCAGGTTGTCCATCTGCATCTGCAGCCGCTTCAGCGTCAGGTCGCTCTCCCGAGACTTGCGCTTGTAGGCAATCAGCACGGCCACGATGAAGACCAGCAGCAGGCCGCCGGCCACGGCGATGCTGACGATGGCGGGCAGGCTGAGCGGGCTGTCGGGTGCGATGTACACCATGCCCGGGGAGAACTCCATACCGCCGACGCGGGCCTGGGGGCACACCGCGGAGAGGCGGGGTGAGGACATGCAGGCTGTGTGCAAGCAGACTCAGGGTGGGTGCAGGGGCACCTCCGCCAGGACCCCTCACGCACCCTCGCGTACAAATGGCTCAGGCCAGGGCTGAAGCTCTGATACCTGGGACTGGCCCTCAACAGTGGCGCATCCCCAAGCATAGAGCCTGAGACCTGGGCTCCCGCAGGCCCCCAAGGCCCGCTGGGTGGACCCTCCTGCCCAGGATACTGCCCATCAGGGCAGGTCATCCAGCGCTGGCTGACTGTAAGAACAACCAGTGTAGGAAGAAGGTCGACACAAAAGGGAAATGCTGGGCGGAGCACGGGGAGACGACTGGGATGTGGGGTGAGGAGCTAGGAGGAACCTCTGGAGTCGCCCACACCCTCACCCTGCAGAGCCTGGTGGGCCAACTGGCCGCCTCACCATGACCTTGTGGCGCCCGATGAGGTTGGAGGATTCGCAGAGCAGCTGGACGTCGGACACGGTCACCGGGCACGGCTTCTCCCCGACCAGCACCGTGTAGTTGAGCTTCACATTGCCCCCGGCCACCGGCGGTATCAAGTTCTTGCCCTGCTTGGACAGGAGAGCCCCCAGCCCAGGCTGACTCAGCACCCCGGCCACCAGCCGAGCTCACTCCCTCCCCCGAAGGTCGCCAGCTGCTGGTGACGGGGTCATGGGTCCTGAAAAGCCATGGCCTGTCTCCTACCCTGTGCCTTCCTCGCAGTCAGCAGCCAGTAACTAATCCGGGCACTCTGTCCCAGTGATCCCAATGTTACCTCCGAATCCTTCCCCACACACAGAGCTGGGCTTCCTCACTGTCAACACCCCAGGCCCTCTGCAGTGAGCCATTCCGACCCAACGCGACGCTGTTAGGCAGAGTAGGACAGCCCCTTGGGGTTTCCTAAGCTGTGCATCTTGACAGAGGGAGACAGTCTCATCTTTCTCCCGACACAACCCTCTGCACCACCAGGGCACCTGCCTCACGATCCCTTGCTCTAGGGATTAGTGAGAGAATTTGCAGTGAATCTGGGTCTGTGTTGGCCTGGGCTGCAGAGGTGGACACTGTGAGCCTGTGACGACCCCCTCTTCCTGGACTCCAGGATGCCCCAAACTGAGGCTCCACAAGCCAGGGCACCTCTGGCTGCCCTGAGCACAGCATCTCAAGAGCCCTCCTTCCTCATTGCCCCACTCAGCCTGGTCGGTCACCTTCTGGCCAGCCCCCAGTCTCAGCAAGAGGGTCCCCTCCCCTGGAGCAAGCTCTACCCACCCCAGGCCCAGCCTACCTTGAGGATGATGGGGGTTCCAGGCTTGAGTTCCAGGATCCCTGAAGGTCCGAAGGCCTCGAACACTGGGTTGGGGTAGTAGGTGAAGTTGGTCTTGTTGAGGGAGAGCAGGGACTGGACATTGTCCAGGATGAAGCCAAACTCCTCCGGCCTCTCCGTCAGATCGGACTGGTGGTCAGGCCCCAGGGAGAGGGCCGGCGCCTGGCAGGTCATCTCTGTGTCGTTCAGGACCTCACAGATCTGCGGGAAGGGCAGTTGTGAGGCTCGGCGGCGGCGGCACCTATCTCCCAGTGTGGTCAACATCCCACACGGTCAGCATGGGGACCACAGAGGACCCAGGACCGCACAACCTGGCCCTCAGGACAGCAGCTCTGTGTGACCTCCGACTCCGGGTGGGGTGACAAGGGCATTGCTCAAGCCAGAGAGCAGGAGCGGGTTGAAGGGTGAGGGGAACCCCAGAAGTGATTGCTCCCCAAGGTGTGAAAATGCCTGCGTTGGGTGTGCATGGGGCGTTCAGTGCATGGGAGGCCCTGTCCAACATCGCCCCTGGAAGCCACATCCCTGGAGAAGCACCGGTGGGGGACAGGCGGCCCCAGACACTCACATTGGTGTGCTCCTTCCCACCATGCTTGGCTCGGATCTGGGGGTTCTGGATGAGGTTCAGGTTGGTGCCCCACACGGAGATGGGTGTGTTCCCACTGGCCAGGAAGAGAAGGAGCTGTGAGACTCACAGTAGGACAAGCAGGACGCGGACACTGATGCCAGTGACCATGGTGGGAACAGGACCTCGAGGCCAAGGTGCTACATGACAGGGATCCTCGTAGAAAGGACACTGGTTCTCTGTGGTCAGGGAGGCAGTCATGGCCAAGGCAGTCCAGCTGGACCCTGGGGAGGCCATCTCCAGCACAGCGCAATGGGTCTCCCTGGCCACCTCTTCTCCACAGTCCCCAGGAGGCTCAGGGGCCTTCTGTCACCCAGCCTGCACCCAAGAGACACTTTGCTCTGAATGGTCACCATGGGGTGGGGGCACAGGGTCCCGTCACTGAGAAGTGCAGGGCAGACACATCCCAAAGGCTTCTCTGGGGACTTGGAGCAGGCGGAGAGCCCTGGGGCGGCAGGAGCCCCTAGCAGGGAGCCAGATGTGGTGTCTCTGCGCGGGAGAGGTTGGAGATGAACATGTGGGGCCTTTCTACCAGACCAGCACCATTCCCCTGCCTGGGGGCAGCCAACAGCTGGCTTTGGGGGTGGGAGGGGGGACCCTGGGTTACATCTTCCTCAAGAGCCACTCCAAGGAGCATGAGGAATGGCCTTAGCCATTAGCACCATCCCAGGGCGCCAGCAAGAAGAGCCTGCTCTCAGCCATAGACCTAGAGCTCTCAAGAAATCTTGAGCCCATCTTCACCCTGCCCCCATTCACTACCCATCTGCCTGTCTTTATGCCTCGGCCACTCCCCATGCACACCCGCATGTGCACATACCTGTACACCGACTTGCACATGCGCACACATGCACACACCCCCCCCCCCACGGGCACGCAGGTGTATGCACACTGGGGATTCTGGGGACACTCAGGGACATCCCTCCACCCAGGCAATGCTTGTGGGGACAGCCTCATGCCGAACCCTATGCAGATCTCCTGGTCCCTCCATGCCGCGAACCTCGTCATCCTGGCCTGTGACCTCCCCTGGCCGCCACCATGGGCAGGCTTCTCTGAGTGGTCAGAGGGGACAGGAATGGGGGCAGCCAGGCCCAGGTGTGGGGTGGTCTGGCTCAATCCTCTCAGCTACCTGTGAGAAAGTCAGCAGGTGCCACCTTGGGTGCCCATCATCCCTGGGCTGTGGAGTGGTATGGCTGGTTGACACCGAATGCTTGCTGCCAAACCCAGGGGTCCCTGGTATGTCACCAGGGACCCTGCAGGCAGTACACACTCTACAGCCAGTGGGGTCCGGGACCCGCATCTCCAGGCCTAGGCAAGGTGCCCCGCCAAGTGTCCCCTCCAGACCTCAGATGCAGAGAGGGGAGTCTTATGGGTCAGAGAGGGCCGCCAGGGTTGGGTCTTCTCACAGTGTGCTCATGGGGAGGGAAGGTGCCCTAGCAGGTAGGCCATGGGGGTTGGGAGACACTCCCAGTTCATTGGACGCCCCCCACAGCAGGCCTGGCCCCGAATGCTCCTGGGTAGCGGGACCCAGGGCGGGCCCTACCTGACAATGCTCCACTCGGGCTCCATCCTCACGATGGTGGGGTCCTCCACGTACTGGAAGAAGAGGTCATGGTGGATCCTAGCCCTGTCCACCTGCACGGTCACTTCCATCTCCAGCACCTCCTCTGAGGAGGTCGTGTTGCAGATGATGTGGGACGGGGTACGCCTGGGGAGGGACAGGGCCCAGGTCAGGGTGCTCCATGCCCCTCTTCCTGAGTTAGGCTCCTGGGAGGTATCAGGGGAGCATGGTCCCCCAGGGAGCACCTAGAAGGCTTGACCCAAGGGCCCTGGGCCCTCTGTGCCACTCCCTTGGGAAAAGCCTCTCTCTGGAGAACCGTGG